GTCTCCATCAATCTCTGTGTGTAGGTTCCCCTGAGAACATGCAGTTTTACTTCTCTTAGGTAAATTCCTGAGAGCGCGTGGCTGGCTGAGGCACCACACCTGTGTTAATGTCATGGGACACACTGTCCCGCTGTCTTCCCGACTGGCTGTGCCATTTTGCATTCCCACCGGCAGCAGTGTATGAGATTCTGCCTGTTTTCATACATTAGATAGCATCTAACTCCAAAAATGCAACTTTACACAAAAGTAATTTCTATAAACAATCAGGCTGCTTTTATTATAACTTAACTCTCAATGTTAGAGCTCCCAAGAGGCCACTCTCAGGCATTTTCCTCACTGGCCTCAGTCCGCAGACCACATGGCTGTCCGTTTTCCCGTCTTTTCCTTCGGGGGTTGCTCTCCCCAGTGTCTTAGAAGGTGGTCGTTCTAAGTGCCCACTTCGCCTGCCATGGAGGTTTAGAGGGGACCCAAAGTGGTCCCCAAACAGCCCGTTGGGGGATCGATATGACTGCTGGCAGGGAGAGGATCTTTTTCCTTTGAAGACATTAGCCCGAAGTGCTCGGAGGGTAAACCTAGCAGGGACCGAAACCGTCATTTAGACAATTAAACATCAGGCGGCAGACATGCTGAAGCTCCACCCCTGCTCTTCTCCAGTTTACGAGTCAAGAAATTGCCTTTCCATTTAAGCTGGGTGCTTCGTCACTTCCAGCCAACCCGTGCAGTCTACTGCTCTGTATTTCTATTAATTTACGCGTTCTGACGGGTTACACTACTCTATCCCCGCTTCAGACTCTTCTCTGAACCCACATTCATCTCCACGATGAGATCCCAGTTTCTGCTTGGAATGGACGACTAGAGCAGCTGGAACTCTCTGGTTCAAAGCTGAACGATTGGTTTTCCGTCAAACCTACCCCTGCCTCTTTCTCCTACATCTCAGAATGTCACCGCCACTTTTTGGTCTCTCAGGTCGAAAATGAAACTCACCTGAACTACTTGCTACCCTTCACTGCCGCCCACTGCCCACCCATCAGTATGTCCTGCGGTTCTTACTGCCCAAATGTTACACAGAATCTCTCCACTTCGCTTGGCGGCTGCAGCTCCCCCCCCCCCCCCCACTTTGTAGCTTTCCAACTGCCTCTCGGCTTTCAGCTTTGATCCCCTGTAATGCAGCTTCTGCACAGCGACTGCAGTGACCTTTTAACAATATAAACTAGGTCACTGTTAGTCCTCTGTTTGGAACCTTGTAATTGCTTCTAATTGCATGCAGAACTTGGATTCCTTTTCCTGAACCAAAAGGCCTGTGCTCACTCTGATCTCATCTCTCCCCAGGCCTCGTGCTCCGTGGCCCATGCACTGCCTGCACTCAAACACGCACTGTCCCTGTTGGCCCCCTCCCTTCCTTTGCTGGATGATTCGTTTCCTTTACAGCTTAATCTAAATGACAATGACATGTTGGAGGGATGGTCCCTGCCCACCCATCTAAGGTGAGAACCCCCAACCTACACCATGACTCTGCCCAAACTCCTAGATCATTCACCTCATACATGGTGATTAATAATTATTTACTTAGCTATTTTTTAAAAAATATCTGCCTCCACCACTAGACTGGGCAATGAACTCCTTGAAGAATCAAGCCTCTTGTCTACCTCTAAACACCACTTTTCTAACTGCCTGACAGCTACACGGACACTCAACAGTACCTGCAGAATGAGTGAGAGAAGAAAAACTGAACGTATGAATCCATTTTAAAGGATACAAGACAGAAGAATTAGGCGAGTAAAGGCTAATTCCATTTGGAAGGATATGGGAAGATTGCTTTGGAACAAGAAGCATATGAGTTAAATTTTGAGAGTGGGGGATGAGAGAGAGAGAGAGAGAGACAAGCCCTGTGCATGCAGACTACTGTCCTAGTACAGTTTCATGTGGAGGATACAACTGCAGGAGGTGGAAAATATGCCTTGTGGAGAAGGTAAGGCCAAATTGTGTCTTTTACTGAATACCAATCTTCATTTAGTTTGGGTGGAATGATAGCTATGGGGGTAGTAAAGGATGCATACGAAAGAAATAGCCATGGCAATGAAACAGGGAAAGGCACAGATCTGAGGAGAAGTGGTAGATAATGAACAGACCTAGTGACACATGAAATACTATATGGCAGCAGAGATGGAAGCGTTAAAGTTGATTCAAGCTTGTAAACCTGTGTGACTAGGAAATGGATTCCATTAACAGGGACAGGCAACCTAGGAGAGCTGAACTGAGAGGAAGGCAATGAAAGTATGAATATCCTAAAGTGTACACATTCAAAAATAGCCAGTAGCTACTTGGAACGGTGGGCCCTGGAGCCCAGCTAAAATATCAAAGATTAGTTCATTGGCACCAACTGCCAAGAAGAAATGTGTGGAGTATATAAGCTGAGGGCATCGGTCCAGGGTTCAGTGCAGGAAGTAGACCTCCAGTTGTTTTCTAGCAGAAAACAATTTAGTACATGTAATAGGGGAAATTGGATGTTTACACAATCATTATAAAGGCCGGAGAAGCTTCACACCAAGAAAGGACTCTTCTCAGGCTTGTTGTGGCTTCAAGCACCTCTGAACCACTTGTCAAGATTACTATTGCCACTCACCGGTCAAGAAAATGCTGCCACCGACTGGGAAGCTGGGGAATAGGTATGGGTATGGGACTCTGACTGCTGCTTATCCACCCCTGCAATATCCACCACACTGGCGCAGAAAAGGCAAACACCCCATGCTCTCTGCTGTCTACCTCCCAAACACGGCATAGGTGGGTCTCACAGTGGTGAAACCCATATCTTCAACTCTCACAGTAAGTGTGCCAAGGACATGTAATTTCTAGTCTTAAGTTCTAAGTGATGAGCCTTCAAGGGACTAAGCCACAGTGGACATGGATGCTGAATGCTGAGTAACCCCTAGAACATGGGCAATGGGCAAAGGGCTACAGGAACAATTTCCCATTTATTTTTCAAGAATATATGTAGAGGCATTTGAGTACAGATGATAACTCTTCTATATAGCTATTTAGATGTGATTATTTATAATTTATTATAACAGTTGATAGTTGAAGGCAATTCCCAAGGAATTTTAATTAGATCTTGTTGTAAAAATTAACTAAATGCAGCCCATGCTTGCAGTTAAAGAAAGAATAAAGTTTTGCTATCTGGAGAATTTCAAGAACATCTCTGATCCTATATCAAGAAACATTCTCCTTCTGTATTATCATCAATATATGTTCATCCTAAAGTGCCTTTCTACCTGTAAGCGGGAACAATGCTGTAGATAGCCCTGTTTGAAAAGACTGACACTCCCATCAAAGTCAAGAAAACTTCTTCCAGGGCTACACCTTGGTATCTCCGGAGAGTGGATTCATGAGGGTGGGTGGATGTAGATGGAGCATGTCAAGCCAGCATTTATCTTGACTAAGTCATACTATTAGCCTTATTTTACAAATGAGAACGTGAAGGCATAGAAACATGAAGTAACTTGACACATGCCTGCTTCTAACCGAGTGAGGGAACCAACACTTGCACCTGGCGTCCTGACTCAGAAACTCCCCGTCCTCAGCCCTGTGCTGGAGTCCTCCCATTAGAAATGATGGCTGAACACCTCAAAGGACAGAGTAGAAAATAAGACAGGGAGAATGCTGAGTCTGAACTTCTGGGCTTTTCCTAAGTGTAAGAAGCAGGCAGAGGAAGCAGAAGCAGTAGCTGAGACTGAAAAAGAGACTGAAAAGTGTTGAGAAAGGAACTCAACCTCCTTGGTTGTGATGGGTGCACACATTCAACATCAAAGGAAGTAAAGGGTCACCAAGGAGACGGTGGTTTAGGGTCAATTGGTTTAAAAATGGAGAAGCTGTGATACTGAGCAAAAAGCAGATCGCTACCATCATTACTATTATTTAATTCTGAAACTAGGGGCTATACTGACAAAATCATGCCCACGAAGAGACAGAAGTAGCTTCTACTATTTGAGTACCACATTCCTAGTGTCCTACCCAAATATTCTTTTCCCTTTTCAGTTACTATTAATTTAAGAACTGGTTCTTGAGTCATCCTCATTCATGAAGACATCGAGGGAGCAGACAACTCAGTGTTTGTTGTTATAAGGAAGCACAGAATTATGTCCACTTAGGATAAGTGCTGGCTTGCCATGTTCCAACTACATCCACCCACCCTCCTGTTTCCACTCTCTGGAGATCCCAAGGTGTAGCCCTGGAAGAAGTTTTCTTGACTTGAGTGGGAGTGTCAGGCTCGTACGACACTCAGGGAACCGCTGCGTGGATGTTTAAGGTAACAGAGCATCACTTTCCTCGATTACTCTTCTAGTTTTACCACAGGCAGCATTTTGCTCTAATTTATTATGCATTGCTTCACCACAGGGCTACCTACAGCATTGATCTTGCTCAGATGTGAAAGACACATTCGTATGAATACATACTGATGATGATTATACAGAAGGGGAATGTTTCTTGCTATATAGGATCAGATATGTTCTTGAATTTCTCCAGATGGCAAAACTTCTAACTTTAACTGCAAGCAGGGGGTCTCATTTGGTTAATTCCTTTGCAACAAAAGCTAATTAAAGCTTCTTGGGAAATTGCTTTGTACTATCAACTGTAACAGTGAATTATATATAATCAGGTCTAGGTAGGTATATGGAAAAGTTGTCACCTTCCTGACTACAAAGATCGTTCAGTGACTAGTCCAATGTTGAAGGATTGGCATCTGGTGCTTGGAACTTCTTAAAAATTGTGGTTGGTCTTGGTCCCCCAGAATAGCAAGCCCCAAAAGTGCATTCTGCTAATGACTATGAGGCTAACCTTGTATCAATGCAAAGTTTGCACTGTAATCATGGTCCAGTATAAAAGTAGTTTATTCTCTTTGAAATATTGTACACTCCACTCTTCTAATATTTTCATTAATTTTTGGACATTGCTATATTTATGAAAATGAAAAAAAGCATATTAGGGAGAAAAAGACAGAAACATAAAAAATAAAAATCACATTTATTTAAACAAAAATATACACACAGTGTACAATGAATATGGTTTCCACAGAACGATAAAACGAAATGATACTTCTCCAAATGAGCATTATAAAATGATCTAACCTACTTGTGCCTCATTTCCTAGGAATACACACATTATCAGTTCATCTAGAATATATATGTAACATAAAAAGAAAACAAGTGCCAACATTTCAGATAAGTACCACAAGAATCTCAAAATTAGATGTTAGATTAAATAAAATAATAAAATATTCACATGAAAAGTGTATGCGTGCAATGAATTGCACCTGTGCAGTGAAGCGGGTGTCTTATACAGTTATAGACACGTGGAGTTTGCCTTTTAAACATCTGAAAGTTCTGTAACATGAAATATTTTTAAGTACTGACAGTGGTGTGAAAGCATTGCGGAACCGAACAGATCCTGCAGCAGTCTTGCCAAAATCCGAGTCCACATTACTTACTAGTTAACAACACGGCACCAAGTCATCATTGAAGATGGACTGTTGGACTGTGTCCTCCGGAAGTATTTAGACCCTTTCGGGATGGTTGTGAATGCATTCAGACTGTAAGTATGAGCATGCAGTGTCTTCTTAACCCCGTTTACTCAAAGACCAGCAAGATACGGTTGGTTTATCAGGCACTGCCACTTGTATTAGGCACCCTGTTCCTGACAGTCACTCTCTCTGGGTACTGTGCTTGATTGTGAACCTTGTTTTCCTCTTGGTAATTTAAAATGATAAATATTCATGTCATCTATAAAAATGCAAGCTCCAGAGAACTGATTGCATGTACTTTTTATTGGTTTTTATTGTCACACAAGTTTTCCCTATCTCCTTGTGAGGAACAGGCAGGCATAATTTGTTTCTTTGACATCAGAAATGCTTCAGGCATTCTCTTCCATGCTTAGTGTGCCTAATGTGACTCAGAAAGTAAAAATCCAAATGTCCATACCTTAACTCTATACCTAGTTGCTTTGCAGTGTTTTGTCTAAAACATTAATTTTAGCCCCGGCTGGTATGGTCCAGTGGGTTGAGTGCCAGTCTGAGAACCAAAGGATCACCAGTTTGATTCCAGTCAGGGCACATGCCTGGGTTGTGGGCCAGGTCCCCAGCAGGGGGCACACGAGAGACAACTGCACATGGATGTTTCTCTTCCTCTCTTTCTCCCTCTCTTCTCCTCTCGAAAAATAAAAATAAATAAAAATCTTTAAAAAACAAAAACATTGATTTTACTTGCCTGTTCTGAAAGACAGTTTTTTCTATAGGTCATATCTGTTTGGAAAGTTCTGACTTAAAACTGCCAAAGAAACAAAAGTGATAATATGTTGGAGCTTTATATAGCAATGAAACGTAACTATGGAGGGGTATAGGTTCTAGAGACTGCTGCTGGACAGAATGAATGTGAATTCACCCTATGACTGTCAGTCAATGACACAGGTTTCAGAAAGTCATTCTCCAGCTCTTGAGGATGACTTCAGTTTCCTGTTTGCTTCCCTCATAATTGCTGATCACAGTTTATCTCAGACCAGTTTCTTAAATCTGTGATAAAAGTTAATAGATTCCCTATAAGATTACACAGAGCACCCTGTATACTGAACTTAACAACTGATAGACCACACTATTTGGAAATCAAACACCTTAAACATCTGTGGTGACTTAGCATAGTGCCAGGGTTTAATTTGTTTAAACTAACAGTTTGGGTTTCGGTTGAGCTGTATTTATTAGAATCTGGGCACAGTAGTATGCTACTGTGTTTTCCTGCTTTTAGCAAATGCTAAAATTATAAACTTCAAAATTAGTACTAAAGCACATTTTCACTGATACTCTAATTAGGCCAACATCTCCCTGAATTTAGCCTGGAGTTGGTACTGCTTACACTGAAGCCTCACTGCCAAGATTTCCCTGGCCAAACTCAGAGAGAGAAATGCATTGAAAAGCATCCTTCTGATTAAGAAACTTAATTATTAATAAAATACAAACACCAAATGTTGCTGATAGCCTAATTAGAGTCTTCAGAGAGGTTAAAAACTAAAACAAAATTTCGGTGACCTGAAGATGAATAATTGTATTTAATACCATTTTAATGATTTTTATGGCTTCCAATTGTTTATTTTCCCGAGATAAAGTGATGATGGCATCCAGTTGTGTGCCAAGAAATCTGTAACAGCTGGCTATCCAGCAATGCCAGACCATGATCCGTAGCATTGGGATATTGCTGTGGTGTAAATACTCCCACTGTGGTCAATTTCAAGCTACCAACGTGATGTTGCTGCGTGTGGAGCCAGGAGATACGCAGCAACATTCTATCATGTAACGTTGGGGCTGTGCACATGCAATTCATAAACAACCTCAAGAATAGAGATCAATGGAAGAATGCAGTAGACTGATCAGGAAGTGGGAGCCTTGCTTATTACCTGTGTTTTCAATAACATGTTCAGTTGTGTTTTATAATTTCATATTTAATGATGGCTGTGTTTGATAACTAACTTCTAAAATGTAATGGTCCACCTTCACGAGTCAGCATTAGGTAGTTCCGGGGCCTACTGGTGCGACCTCTCCTTGGCACATATCAAATTTTGCTTGGGAAAAATGCTGTCAGTTACCCAAATATTTCCTTTTCCGTTTTGAGTCTTATTTTATGCAAAATACCATTTTAGTTGATGGAGAAAAGGGAAGTACCCCCCCCATGTAGAGGCTAGAAAACTAAATTTTAAGGATTCAGTTTTTAGAAGAAAAGGTGTTCCTCTTACAGAGTAAGCCCTGGAGGCCAGGTGCATTGTCTGGTGCTCTAAATGGGCATGTGGACACATCAGTACAATCTGTCAGCTGCATCAAATGACCGCTCTGACTCACCAGGTAACGGGACTGACCAAAGGTTTCCATCAAAGGATTGTTTGGGACGAGTGTAGTCACACTCATGGCAATATTTACAAGAAAAAAAAACCACACAAGAGTCCTGGCTGGCGTAGCTCAGTGGACTGTGCGCAGGCCTGCGAACCAAAGGATAGTGGTTTGATTCCCAGTCAGGGCACATGCCTGGGCTGCAGGCTAGTTCCCAGCAGGGGACATATGAGAGGCAACAACCATACGTTGATATTTCTCTCCCTCTCTCTCCTTCCCTTCACCTCTAAAGATAAATAAATAAAAATCTTTTAAAAAATTGTAAAAAAAAACCCACACAAGAAACAAATGAATGATGTCCCCTGAGGGTGGGGCTGCTTCAGATACTTCCCGCCTTCCCGATCAGCCACCCTGTGAAAAATCCTTTTTTAACTGTGCCTTCTGTAGGACTCTGGCAGTAGGGAACACAGCACTGATATGTACATTTGATGATATTACAGGGGGCATGTTTTTGAGCAAAACAATGATCTCATTTGGAAATGCCATTTTCTTGGTTCATTTTCCGTTTTGACATGATCTCCTAAAATCAGCCTGCTGGGGTATGCATCTTTGAAATCAATGTGTGGATAGAAAGCATGACTGTACAAAGGAGGTTATAAAAGTTTTTTGCGTAACCTTGGCTCTTTGATTTAGACAGCCTTAATAATTAAGAAATAATGAAGTAGTTTTCCAAGGATACTTGGAATAGCTCTTAGGAAAGAGCCAAGTCGATATTTTTGTCTATGTGAAACGTGAATTTCTTTGATGAAATCCACCTTTATTTATTTATTTACTTATTTATTTAATTGCTGTTCAAGTACGGTTTTCTGTTTTTTACTCCCACCCCAGCTCGAATCCACCTTTAGAAGTATGCACAAATATAGGCACCCTGCAGGGAAATGCGGGTGACTATATTAATAATAAACAATCACTCAGATGCCTTTGTAGTTCAGGAATCGCTACCTTTTGAGGCATCTACATTAGTACTTATTGTAAAAGAAAAAAACATGTTTAAATGTCTCCCCAAAATTAAAAAAAACTTATTATTGTCTTTCTAGCTAAATATTTTTCTACATCTGAGTCAAGAGTTTTCACTTTTACAAATGCAAACACAAATTCTTACGCATAAGAGTATTTACATGGTGATAACTCACTTAGGCTCTTGGAACACAGGTGCCACATGACCTACTGAAGGAGGGCTCAGGGTTATCTGGGGAGATGCCCCTCATCCCAGACCGTCCACCTCAGATCCAATGGCACAGTGAGTGTAACCACAAACCCTACCGTTTTCAAATGAAACGGAACAATTCAGAGATTATAGTTAGTCCCTGACATGGAGAATGAGGTACAAAACAGAACACCGAGGTCACTTTCCCCAGGACAGACCCACAGCGCACACGGTCGTTTGGCAACTGCCTCAAATGTAACGCCTACGGTCATTAGCAAAAATAATAGATTGATAATTCTAGTATTAAACCCCCCAGAGGATTATCTAAAATTTGTATTAATTCGAAAAAACTCACGAACCTAGAGATCTGTTTGGAATCCTGATTTCAACAAATGTCTTCTATCACATGAGCTATTGAAAGCCCATAATACAATTCCATTCAGTGTGGTCATAGCTAAGACACGTCTGTGTAACCAGTTTCTGGCATTTCCAACTGAGATTTGTGCTCTGAATGGCATGCCCCTCGAATGAGAAAAGAAAACAATGAATTCTTAAAATTTGGAGAAAACAGGATTCATTTGTTCAGAGTGTGGTCATCTAAGTTTCCAGTCGTGACTGCCGATTTCTGTTTCACTCAATAGCATTTGCCCATAACTGCCATGTGCATTTGGCTTGGCAGTTGGGAGGAGAGCTAAGCCACAGGGAAGGAAGGTAACAGGAGGCCGTCATCGCGGTTCTAAAGTTATCTAGGTAGGCGACTCGGGGCAGAGCTTCCCTGGGCTTCGATGTAGCCATTTATAAAGGTGTTACACTAGGTAATGTCTAAGGAAGCTTCTCATTTAAAATTTTGGATAGTTTATAGTGTTATTTTCCTGAATAAGGACACATTGGAAATTCAGGTTGACAAATAATTGTTTTGGTCTGTCATTAGGGATGGCTGCATCTATTTTAGAAGGTTTATGCACGTATGCTACTCTACACCAGGCACACTTACACCACCTATAGTCTACACCAAGATGACTTTTGGAAAATGTCTCAAAGACATGCTGTTGACTGTCATAAACTCGACTACATCAAGTTCAGGCTGATGAAGATTCTCACTTTGCGAGTCCTTGCAGTTTCTTGTTCCTCACAGTGTTTTGCCTATTATCCTATTAAACTTTCTCTTGTGGCACTTTTACAACAGGACCATATAACCCAGGTCAGAACTTTGAAAAGAAAGCATGTTTTTGGAAAGTATTTTCACTGCTTTACTGACACTGTTCATCCACCTGTTCAGGAGGGGTAGTCGCATCTTAGCTGGACGACAAAGTCTTTACAGGCACAGCCGCAGGCTGTCCTGGAGTCCAGACCCTGAGCTGATGCAACCTCACTTCAGCTCACTAGAAAACTGCGGTTAAACCTCAGAAACGTGCTCTAAGAGTACGTGTGAGAAAAGCGGTGAAATGACATTGCCATGCCCCCTCTCTGCACCCGCACCTGGCTTCACTTTGGAGGGACAGCAGTGCTATCTGCATGGCCTCGAGTCCCCTGTGGACCTGTTTCCTCAGAACGTCTTCCATTAACGCACTCCATCAATGAAAGCTACACATTCCAAGCTGATCTCCACCAGCAAGAGTCAATACACAGAAGCTCAGAACTAGAAAGGACAATATTATGTAAGATTTTTTAAAAAATGGATTTCTCTCAGAGAAATGTGCTGATAACCGGTTCAAGTAACTCTTATACTTGGGCAAATATCCCTGGTCATGTCCCTCCACAAATTCAAGACAATAAAAAAAAAGGTAGAGATTATCCAACAGATGCGTATTTGTGTCCCTGTTCATTTACACGGTGGCAGCCTTAGGTGTCGGCCTTCCCGTAAGTCCCCTCTGGAGGTCTGTAGTACTTGGGGAAAGCCATCAGCTGTAGCATGTTGAAAGCATACTTTCTGCATTTGATATTCTTCAGTACATTCTCTATGCGGCATCCTTCTCTGGTAAAAGGGGAAAAAGTACAACTTCATGAAACAGAATAAATAAATATCCTTTATTTGTTCAATGCAGAGTTGCAGCAACAGTCCAAGTAAAAATAACAAAGATTCAACTCTACATTTTTTCCACAAATGATGATACATCTTACAAAATTAAATCCTAGGCCAGGCCCAATACCATTATTGCCCCTCTGAAAGAGATGATTAAAGTCTCTTTGCTCTTAACAGATCTTTAAGGTTTAATAAACTCTTCAAATATAATTTGCTCCACAATACAGCTTCACTTTAATCTCATAAATATATTTGCCTTTTTATAACTCTTCCACAAATTAATTTCTTTAAAACACATTAAAATCTATATGTAGCCCTAAGGATACAGGTTCTAGGAATAAGGCATTTAATTTATTAAGTCTGGCCCTATAGATTTTTAAAGGAAAGTTCAATCTCTATTTTAGTTCATTATTTTAGCTGTGCAACGATGAGAAAAATGGCTTCCGGAACAGCCTGGTCCGAGCGTCCACTTTATAAAGGAAGTGCTTGTGCACAGACGGTACAAAAGTCACAGGGGGGAAAGGGAGCATCAAGACACAAATGAGACCTTGTTGAAAAGAATAGAAAAGTACTCTGAAAGCCAAATCAACCCAAACAACCGTTACAAACAGGTTAATTTAATTACAAAACAGAAATAGCCATTCTCTCCACAGAGCTACTCGACAGAAACGGGTTAATGGCAGCAAAGAAATAACAAGACTACAGGTTAAGAAATCAAACAGAATGTTCTATCAGCTGATGGCGACAGTGGTTTGAGCACAGTGGCAATAAAGTCTGGAACCTCCCCCATCTCTAGGATGTGTCTCAGAGTTTCAGTGTGTTGTGCAAATTCAGTCTTAATTCCTTTAATAAATTCAGTGGGAAGAGGAACAGGAGGTGCAGACCTTCAAGCTTTCAGGATTCTGTTCTTTGTCTTATTCCAAAGATAGTAATTTAAAAATTCTTCTTGAGCTAGGGAACAGTGGGAAACAATTCTCCATGGACAAAAGAGCAAAATAATTCACTGAATGCATAGTACTTCTTTTTGTAGATTTTAGGAAAAAACAAAGAAGACACAATGCCCACATCTGTTAGTTTTAAATTCTCTGAATCTTAAAATGTAGAAATGTTACAGCGTTGTCCCCATAATTTAAAGTCCGTTGTCCTTTGTAGAAAAGAAAGGAATACAACATGAAACTTATTGGTATTTGGCTAAGAGTAACGCAAGACTTAAAATAAGCCACACAACCAGCAGGTGTGAGCTGACAAGCAGCAAGGCGACAGGATAGAAGTGTCGAGAAGTTGGCTTGTTATCAGAGAGACAGCCTGTTTCAGGATCATCAGATTCACTCAGTGCTCCCTGGGTCTGTCTGCTGTTAAACAGGGTGGGGGGTGAGGGGAGGAGAGAAAATAGCATAGTGTTCACACAGCAAAGAAACTCAACCTTACACATTCTGCAGCAGAACACATTATCTTACACAATGAGCCTGTTTCAGAAGGACATTTTATGCTAAATAGTCCCAAATACATCCTGTGTATTTTTTTTTTGCATTGACAAATGTTTCTCCTTGACAAACACTATTACAAAAGGAGATTCCTTTTGCTTTTGGTGCAAGAAGGAAGGGAGAGGCACTCTGATGATATTCGCATGGGTTGAATCTGTGTGTACAATGAAGAATCAAATGAGCACAAAAGCACCAATAAACGAGACTCCAAGAATAAAACTAAAATATGAACCAGCCCATAAAAATTAATCTGATAAGTACATCTCTGGCAAATGAAATGAAAACAGTATGTAGTGAAGCAAAAGAACGTGTCTGGCATATCTGAGCACACCCTGTACTGGTACTGCACCTATATGATGTGCTCCCATTATAAAAGTAGTTTATGGAGATGGCTTGGTATTTAAAATGAATGGAATACCTGACATGCCATCCTCGCCAGCCATAAGATTAGTTTAACAAAACCCCAGTCTGTGTCGTCCTGTTCCTTCAGCTCATAAATTCCATTGTCCCCTGTGCATCTTACTTAAATATCTATCTCCTGTACCCTCCTGAGCTTAAAAGAGATCCATTTTTGCAGAACGACACTTTGAACTATAAAGGATTGTAAATTACCAGATTGTGTATTTTCTGTGTGAGTAAAAAAACGGGCATTTGTAATTGGGGTTAGAGGCAGCTACAATTATGGCAAATCTTAAACAGGCCATACTGATACACGTTGAAAATAAAAATTGTTTCCTATGGTATATGTCATCAGTATTCAGAATTTTAATCATACTTAGTTGTCAAAGGGTGGGGGGTTGATCTCCACCAGCTCCTTCAGGTTTTGAGGCAGAAAATGCATCATTGTTCAGTGTTATGAAAAGTGCCATGCAAAAGTTACTTCTAAGCAAACCCCATAGCTGACAGGGCCCCCTCTCAACAGCTGCAGCCCCTGCAACCCCCCCTAGACAGGAAGTGTTTGACCAGGTGTTGACCAAACCAGTGGCCACACTTGGACAAACCATGCTCGTCACTGTTTCAAACAGCAAATAGATCATGTCACATGTGCTCGTGTTTCCCATTGTTTAGTGACACCTGAGGACCCTAAAGCCAGTGACCAAGCGAAGTCAAAGCTGATCTGGAAGACCAAAGATTTACTGAGCAGAAAAGAGGGTTATTTTGGACTTGCAAAATTTTTATCGTCAATTATACAGGGACCTTGGTGACTCATTGAACTTCCTGCTGCACATTAGGCAGGAAACATGCATTCGATTTGAAGGTGTGTTTCTCTTTGAATGTGAGTGCGAGTCCTTGTCCTGTGTTATTTCTTCTATGGGCTCATCGGGTGCCTGAAATCCCTACACTGCTAAGGCCAGGGAGATATTTTATTCACTTGTTCAGTCGATTACTACCAAGGGGTATCTCATTCTTTTACAGTTTCTAGTATTCACGGATCCCATAGAGAATATAATAGATTAGAAGAGCAACATGTGTAGAGGCAGCTGTGATACTCAGTCCATAACAGTGTGGACTCAGAGGTCAGACCACTGGGCTTCCAGCTTGGTTCCATCATCTGCTAGTTAACTAGCCCAGGGCAAAGCATTTAACATTTAATGTCTCAATTTGCTTACCTTTAAATAGTGTTAATAATAATAATAATATCTACTTCATAGAGCTGCTATGAACTATATCACTTCATAGTTATACTGACCAAGAGCCTAGCACTGACCAAGCACTCAACAACGGTTATGATTGCTGTTACATCACTTGAAAATGAAGAAATACACGCACCGTGGTAGTGTCTCTGGAACCTTTCTCCCTAGCGGGGAAACGTGGTCATGAGTCACACTGATCCAGACCCCAGTGCTCAGGGGAGGACGAGCCTCAGAGGTGGCGAGGAAGGGGCAGGGGGCTGGTCAGAGCTGCTCGCTTTCATGTGTGTGACTGAACTATGGCTACGCAAAGAAATCCGTCTGCACACCACCTCACTGCCCACGTCGGACATGGAACAACCATAACTATTTCAAAGAGGCCGCAGAGCAACCTGAATTAGTGTTAAACACCCAATCGGCCATGCTGTGGTCTGGCTGAAAAAAATGGTGGGAAATAAGGGTTCTAACTCATGTTTGAACAATTCTGAGAATCAGGGAAAAAACACCACAAAGAAGTCCATTACCATACACCGGTCGGTCACTTTGGAGGGGGCTTGGTCTAACATGTGAACTGGCCAGGGGCGGGTGGTGGGAGGAAGCTGGGTAAAGGGCCGAGGGAGGCCGGCTGGGTGACCGGAAGGTCCCCTTGGGTTTTCAGATGCACAAAGTAAAGAGAAAGGCCCTGAAGTGCTGTTTGCCTTGTTCCCACCCCCAATCCCGCCTCCACCAGCTACACAGACTTGAGCAAATACTCTCTCTCTTTCCACTACGATCTCACCATCCACACAGGGACAAGAGCATTGTTCAAAGGATTAAGTATGATGGCGCATTAAAAAAACTTAGCACGGTACCTGGTGCAAAATGAGGCCTGGATAAATGTCAGCTATTGTCATTCCTGTTATCCTCAATATCATCCTCACAAACACACCCTTCTGTCCAGCTTGAAGGTGAAGGCAAGCTGTAGTAAATCTTAGTGACATTGTCAGAAGTACAAATGCCTATTTATCTTCTATCTATGTACATGTGTATCTATGTCTCTCTCTATCATCTGTCTCCATCTCTTTATCTATCCAATTATTTATCTATCTATCTATCTATCTATCTACCATCTATCTATAACAGTGCAAATATTAGATTCTTATTACAGAGTTAGGTAAAACATAACCACAATCTACCAATATAATACTGCAGAAATACTCTTCTTTCTGGAAGGTCCACACCTAGGTAGGCTCTGGCCGAAGGGACCTTGTAATGTTCCTCACCACAAATGCAGGAGACTAATTTATAGCAGGTGGCTTTTTCTCCTACAAGTCCAAGAGCACATTTAACATTTTCCAGTCTGCTTGTTATATATATGCCTTCTAAGCAAAAAGTACTATATTAAAAGGTTGTCTTTTTTTTTTTTTGAGGGGGCAGTTTTACCATGGAATTAATTTGCTGTTTACTGGCTTTAATCTCAGGAGAATACGACAACACATGGAAAATGCCTCCTGCATAGTCGATCCCTGACTCACTGGGATTGAAAGCAACAGCCCAGGAGGCCCCTGACTCGGTCACAGAGCAGACCCAAGTGCTCTTGGGGCTGCCTCTGTGCTTCCCGCTAGGAGGAGCAGGAATGGTCATTTCCTCGTGGGCACAAACCGACTTTTAAGCACTCTGCAAGTGCCAAGAGCAAACGAGGGGCTAAGTGATAACATCCGTAATTTCCTCACCAGCAACGGACGACCAATGATTAATTAGTGGTGCCATGTAGGGACCCTAATAGTCCCGTCACTGGCTGCTGCCCTCCCTGACTCGGCAGGTCGCCATGGAAGCACATCACAAAGTTGTCTCCACT